GCTCAGAATTTTGAAAGAATTTTTGGCCAGGGGGTGGTAGAGCGAACCCAAAGAACCCCCCTTGGCTACGGGCATGGAAGGCATAATATATCCCTAATCAGTGGTTTCAGTAACTTTGTGAACAAGAGGCAGATGAAAAATACAAGAGGCGGCATTCAAAATAACCAATTTTACGCTCCCGACAATGCAAATTCTTGTTATTTTAGAGTCCATGGACTGAAAGAAAGATGTCCAAGGTTTGTCAAAGTCATTTCCATGTGTGATGTGGCAAGACATGGGCTCCACAAAATAACACCTGGAACTGTAGAATGACTAGAGCAACTTCTATAGAATGTCATTAACCTTTTATAAGATAACTTACCCTTACACAGGTTGCATTTCACAAATCCAAATGCACCTGTTGAATTGAACACTTTTGATATAAATCAAAATCTAGAATTGTCATTATTAAAATGAGAGTGATCACTAGGGCAGAGCATTTGTACTGAAAGGAGCGTTTTCAGTACAAATATGTACTGAAAAATGTACTGAATTTTTAAGTATATTTTTCAGTATAAATATGTACTGAAAAATATACTTAAAATTTCAGTGCAAATTTCAGTATAAATATGTACTGAAAAATGTACTGAAATTTTAAGTACATTTTTCAGTAGATATTTATACTGAAAAATATACTGAATTTTAAGTGTGATATTAAGTGCAAATATGTACTTAAAAATATACTGAAATTTAAGTGTGATTTTAAGTGCAAATATGTACTGAAAAATATACTGAAATTTAAGGGCATATTTAAGTGTAAATTTATACTGAAAAATATACTTAGATTTTGAATTACGACATCTTCCTGACTTTGACATCTATACCATGGATTTTGCTATACTCGAACAAATGAGGTTCTATGTTCATGTTATATATTTTAATTTTGATATCAATTAATTAATTTGCTCAAGCAATATGAGTGAAAATCTCATGAAAAACTTATTTTTAAGACTGAGAAAATGTGTACCTTTAATGTTTTTGAATTTTAGAACTTAATAAGGTAGAATGTATCTAGAAACCTCAAAAGGTATGGAATACACATGTTATGTACGATCAGTTTTAAATAAAGGGTTTATCCCTCAGGAAATATGGGTATCCAAAACCTCCCAGTACATAACCCTTATATATGCATTATATTTGATAGGTTTGATCGGGCTAAAAAGAAATTTATTGATGGAGAAAATGCAATCAGATATTATTACAGGATGCGTCTTAAATAATTAAATCCAAAAACATAACTTATTAAAAGGAAAACACTTGATTACAGTAAACCTAGCCTCTCCAGTTTGATTAGAGTCTGCTATAAAGGATGTGTCTAAAGAAACTTTATTAATCAATTAACAAAACAAATATAGCATAATAGCATTCCTGGGGGGGGGGAGGTTCAGGGGTCCAAGCGAACCCCCCCCCCCCCCCCCCCCCGGCCAAAAATTCTTTTAAAATCATGCACTTTTTCACCATTCTAAGAACTTTTTGAGTGATTTAGAGTTTATAAAGTATGCCTTACATTTACGTTTTCTCTTATTTCTATTATTGGGCACAAACATTTCTCATTGCATATATTTATACTTAAAATTATCCTTAAATTTCAGTATATTTTTCAGTACATTTTTATACTGACTTTTGCACTTAAATTTCAGTACTTTTTTCAGTATATATTTGTACTTAAATTTATCCTTAAATTTTCAGTGCATTTTTCAGTATATTTTTGCACTTAAATTTGTCCTTGAAATTCAGTACATTTTTCAGTACATATTTATACTTAAATTTGTACTTAAAATTCAGTATATTTTTCAGTACATGAATTTGTACTGAAAAATATACTGAAAAAAATTCAGTGCATTTTTCAGTACAAAAATATACTTAAATTTGTACTGAAACAAAACTAGTACATTTTTCAGTATATATTTGTACTGAAAACGCTCCTTTCAGTACAAATGCTCTGCCCTAGTGGATGTATTAATAGATGATTAACTTGTGATTATGTGTATATCAGATTCATTTTAGTTTTTAACACCTCCAGAGGGTCCAGGGTGTTCCAAAAGTAACAGGACTGGTGCTGGTATTTTGTTAAATATACACCAATTGTCTTCAAAATTTACATAATATACCTTCATGTTTTGTAACTAAAATTGCCGAAATACATAATTTTTTTGAAACTGATTTAGAAATCGGCCGATGACTACTCATCGGCCAGCGCCCGGTGCATACGTGGCCTAGGCATTAGAGAGAGACCTAGGTGGGAGATATCCCCCTCTACACCAAACTTGTTCTCACTACGCTTTTGTGGTTTTACAACATGGGGTCTATGGGGAATCTCCCCGACCTAGAAGTCACATTTTCAAAGAAAATTAAATTTTCAAAGTTGATTAACTCGTTTCAAAACCACATTTCTAAATGTAATTTTACATGTAGATTCCAAATATGACATCATTTTGACTGAATTGTAAATTTTTAATGACGTAAATCAAGATTATTTCTACTCGCATCTGGGATGATGATGAGATAATGATTTAGCATATCGAAAATATTTTCAACCTAAGTGACCACATCGTGACATCACTTAGGTGGCAACATTTTTCAATGCCAATCTTTTCTAAATATGCTAAACTTAAAAAATAAACCAATTTTGACTGTAATCAGTAAAATATTGATGGATTTTCAGGGCTTGCATTAACGGCGTCCCTTACATGTAAGTGACGCAAAAAAAAATTGAAGGACGGAAAAATAAAAAATATTTCCGGAAAAAAAATTGAGTCAAAACTTTGAACATTTTTTGAAAATCTTGAAAATCTCAATAGTTGAATGTTTGACTTCTTTGAGGTGTATATTAAGATCAAAATATGTGAGATTTACAACTTTATTTTGAGTAAAAAAGAAAAAGAATGCAGAAAAACGAACTATTGTAATGGGCGATAATAGGTTATCAGTTTGCATGTGACATATTTTTCTCACTGAAAAGCTTATATAAAACCTTCAAAATGAGTTCAATTGTACAAATGATGCATACTTACCTAGGTCAAGTAGTCTATTTGTGATTATATAACGTCAAAATGGTCTAATTTATGATATAAATCAGAGGATTCTGATCGTGTAGAAAATGTAGTGATACACTAAATTACTGAGCGTCAGACAAATTCATACTAAAAAATGTTCTTATTTTTTCAAGCAGTTGTTCAGTGCAAACAGCAAGTATAAAGATAATCACAGTATAATAGTACTTACTATAACAGGCTGGAGGTTACATAACATAAGTGAATTGAATATAAAGAACATGTTTAAATCACAGGGCACGAATGGCAACATTTTGAAAACACATAAGACATGTAAGATCAAGTCATGCACATTCCAAAATAGCCCATTATAGCTAATTTAGCTTATATATAGGAGGACACACTTTTTTCGGTCGGGACTCATTTTTAAAAAAATTTTCCTTCATTGGGACTCACATTTTTCAGAGCCTAATGCAAGCGCTGATTTTTATTGAACGTCAAATTGACATTTATTTACGCCTTCTAAGCGATTTAGATATTAAATTTCTGTTCATAATGAGTAAATAATTTGAAGAGTCTAAATTACTCCCGGTCAGTTTTCACTGGATGTGAACAGGTGAAATTATCATAATCATTAGTTCACCAACATTATACACATGTCTCCCATGCATAAAAATATATAGATAGACAATCTATTTCAGGGCTGTCAACTTGGGACCACCTAATATGAGTGACTTCAAAATGTTGGACACCTAAGTCCAAATCTGAACAATTTCCAATGAACATGCGTGACACATACGGGATTCGCGTGACAAATCCGAAAAAATTGCGTTCGGTTTTTCCGGCGTTCGTATTTTTACCGTATCGTAAACATATTTCGAAAAAATTTCTACAGAAATATTTTTGCTTGACAATTACCAGGTAAAATGCGTATTTTGCGTGACATTTTCTGTCACGCAAAAAAAACTGGCGTGACTTCAAATTCCTCAGCAAATGCGTGACAAATACGCAAATTGCGGGACGTTAATCTTCATCTTAATCTACGCTTAATAGAAAACAAACATGGATATGGGTGTCCTGATTTCGCTTGTGAAACCTCACTTGTCATTGGATAAATTAGTTATGTGATGATCGGTTTTAAATAATGATCACTGGGAAGATTTCAGAGAAAGAGCGTATATCATATAATGTTTATTGGTGATATGTTGACATTGCTGATCATTATTGACATCGCTGACGGCGAAAAAATACCAAAAGGTAACGCTCTGCGCGAATGTCACTCATGGTGAATTTCTGATGGAACTTCTCACTACGACACAATAACCATTTAACAGGATAGTGTATGACCACTATCAGATAATTTAACCGAGTTGTTTGTAGCTTCACAATTTACATTAATGTTTACAATCGCACTAGACATGTGAGCCCAGGTATGTGAGGCTGATCTGAGAAGTCTTGATAAACAATAGTTCTGTCAAAAAATGATTAAATTAAATTGCATAAGATTCGGAATGAAAGTGCCCCATCCATATTTCATATTTGATTAAAAATAATTAATGCATTGGGCAAATAGAATCCTTTTTATTGCAGTTAATTCAAAATAATATTCCTATGCTGGCTGTACTAATTCTTCAAAACTTTCCATCATTGACGTCATTGATTTGACTCATTTGCATACAACCAATCAGCGCGCCGGAAATTATTGATTTTCTTTACTTTGTGGAAAGGTGAATAGAAGACTTTTAATTTTCCCTCAAAACTTAGACAATATTTGACTTTTAACAAACGGCGGATTATCAAAAACAAACGGCGATTTTGGACACTCGCCCCCTGCAATTGAAAGCCCAGCTAATGCTCCCAGGTTCTGTAGGATAGCACCAATATCGCTGTCCAGAACTGCTGATATCATAAAACATATGTTATGTACATATTACATGACATATAATGTTATTGATATGTTGATTTCAGCTTTAAAGACACAAGTGAATGCTAAGAATGCAGCCCTCAGTGATGTTCACATGCAGGTTGATGACCTGAAGATTGCTTTACGTAGAGAGGTGGATGAGAAGAATGCCCTCAACGTGCACTACCAACAGAGACTGGGGGAGAGGCAGACAGAGGTTGAGCAGTTCAAGAGGTATGGATACAGGGTGTGCCATAAGCTAAGGAGCTGAGATTGAAATACAGGGTGAATCATAAGCATGGTGCAACATAATAATGTAGGTTGGAAAAAGGGTGTGTCATAACTTAAGCAGTATAAAAGGTTAAAATACAGGGTGTCCTGAGGAAGATGCAAAGCAAGTGGTTGGAATACAGGGTATGTTATAATAAAATAAGCAGAGTGCAACATAAGAGGTTTATTTATTACACTGTATGTCATTAGCAAAGCAGTTAAAGATGTGGAAATTAATACTGGGTGTGTCAAAGGCTAAGTAGTTCAAGAGGTAAAAATACAGGGTGTGTCATAATCTAAGCAGTTCATGAGATAAATAAAAACTTGCGGAACTTAAATTAAATAGATGAATGCGTAATTTTGAACTCGCGTAATTTTCCATGTCAACAGTATATTAAACTATTAAGATAGTGAAACAGGGTTTAGGTTTTCTCATACATTAAAGAACAGGTCCATTTAACAGACTATTGGTCCACTTAGACTTTTTCTGAAAAACTCATTCTTCCATTTACTTTTAAAACTGATTGCAAGTTGTAGATAAACCTTTCTTCTTGAGATGTGCAATTTCAAAAAGTGGCATAAGTTCTCAGTTTCTTTGAAAAATTGGCAGTAAGAACCCCTATCACAAGGCTGTCTGAATATGGGTACACATTACAGTTGGGGACAAAAATAAATGACAGGTCGATTTTCGATCACCATTTCCTAATTATGGTGGTCTGAAAGCCCATAACTTCCAATATTGTCTAGATACATATCCCTTAAAATTTGTATATTTTACATTTTGTATAATCTCATCCACTGATGTATGGCCTCTTGTAAATTCTCTTATTTTTAACATGGGAAATCCTCACTTCAGCAAATCCACCTGTCATTTATTTATGTCCCCAACTGTATGTTTACCATCAAAATAATATCAAAACTTATCATTATATAGAATTTAATATATGGAACATATGGCATACAAGTATTCGGAGAAGAAAATTGACAAAATCTAGCGATGTATGTAGTTTACCTATGCAAATCTAGAAAACATTGTCATTTTTCGTTCACTTTGTTATCAAGTTTTAGCATGGTGCTCATTCCCTTTCATTGAAAAGTTAACTGTCAGCCCACACTCCCACAAAAAATATATTGAAACTGTATAATGCAGAGACTGTAAAGTAGCTTCTCTGCAAATATCATTTTTGTGGGAGTTTGGGCTTACCACTAAAACTTAACTTTTGTGATGAAAATAAGCCTGACTGGTTTATGTTTTCAATATGGCTGCTAACCTGAGCATACATGTACACTACATAACTGCATGTACAGATTAGGCCATCCAAAATTAATTATATGTTGGCATTCTGATGAAGAGCCTTATATTAAAAACTACAAAACCTTCATTTATTTAAAGGGTTTTATATATTATTTAAGAGTGAAAATGCAATAACACATTGTGCCAAAGCAAGTAACACACCTCTCGAGTTCAGATGACCTTGTTAATGAAGTTTACATACATGTAGTATTTAATCAAAATCTTGGAACTCATTTCGCTACAATATAATCCAAGATCACAATTCCCTTTGTCATTTATATACATTACAAGTAGAGAGTAGATGGGGGACATTTTGTTTTTTCTGAAAAGATAGAATTTAGTGACATTATTATAAAAAAATCTTTGAATGGCCTAAGTGTTTTTCTAAATAGGGAATAAGTAGAAATTATTTTAGGAAATCTTTTGAGTGTCATGCCATTGGTTAATCTGAAAACATAGGATCAAATCCTATGGTGCCTTACATTTTATGATATATATTGAGAGAGGATTTCTCTGAATTATTTGTGTTTCAAATATGGGAACTGCAAATTGGCAAATAACTTTAAAAGTAAGTGTACATTCAAACATTTTAATTTCAAATGCCAAATAAAATGCCAAATGCCAATGGGCATTTAGTAAAAGTGACCCTATAACTATTTAGAATATGGCAAACATGTTTAGAAAACTGGCGAGAAGCAATTGAAATAAGAAAATCCATTATTTTTGAAGTGCCCTTGTGTGCATTTAATTTCAGTCATTTTATCCTAATTGCCCATGGGCATTTAAAATAATAATCACATCCCAACTCTTAAAACATGCTTAGGATACTGTTAGAGTCTCAAAAGGGAACAAGAACATTCATTTTTGAAACAAGAAAATTTAGTCCCCCTAAAAATGCACATATCGGTATTTATTCTCAAGATTTTCAGGTAATTGCCCGTGATATTTTATTAAAAAAATTTAAAAAATTTCTATTCACATGTCTTTTTATCAGTCACAATCAAAATAAAGCCAATTGCTCTCATTTCTTGGATTAGAAACAGTAAAATTTTGACAAAAATAGCAACTCTCAAAGTTGACCTTTAAACCACCCTAGTGTCAAGGTCAAATGTCAAAACTCTCAGAAATCACATTTTAAGTAATGAGTCATACTTCCTCTTCCATGTCAATATATACTTGTTTTGTAGGGGGGCTAAAAGAGGGGTTTACCGCCACCTGTCCTTTTGGTACAAACTTAATTTTTTTTATATTGCATTGATTTTTAGGTTTCAATGAATATTTTATTGTTCTATATATTTGATGTAAATCATTTCTATTCTTTATTCTCCTTAAGTCCACTTGCACTCAATACGTGATATCATTCATAAATAACATTAAAATCTTGGCTCTTTTCATATTGTTTCATGCCAACTATCTGTAATTCATTCAATAAGTCATTTGTAACTAGATGTATAAGATTGCAAGCAATCGTATAAAGATTGCAAGCAATCTTACGGAGGCCCCGTAGGCTTTTTTGAACATTTAAAGGTCAGCCAAAGGTCAAATCTTAAAAACAAGGTCATATATGAACTCCAGGCATCTTGTAGATGATTTTTAAAAAAAAAGTTTGGTCAATTTGAAGCAATGTGAAATTTGACCTTGAAAAATTTCAACATTAGACCTTTTTCAGTTTTTGAGGTCCAATATCTCAAAACTGGTGCAGAATTTTAATAGATAATCAATTGTTATTATGTGTAAAAGCTTTAGAGGAATATATATCCTGACTTTAATTCAAAAATATTGATTTGTAGTCACAATCTTTGAGAAACTTAGAAAACACAGTTTGTGATCTTGTTTGATGACCTTGACCTTTGACTTTGAAAATTTTACTTTTTTAGACCTCAGTATATCTTTTCTGATTGAATAAACCTAAATTTGAATCCAGAAAATCAATTTGAAAAATCAACTTTTTTGACCTTTCGAAGGTCACTGAAGGTCAACTAAAGCTCATAGGTCAAAACTAAGGTCAGATTTGAGTTCCTGAGATCTTGTAGATGCTTTTAAAAAAAAGATTTGGTCAATTTGGAGCAAGTTGAAATTTGACCTTCAAAAATTTCGAAATTTGACCTTTTTTCAGTTTTTGAGTTCTAATATCTCAAAACTGGAGCAAAATTTTAATAAATAGTCAAGTGCTAATATGTGTAGAACCTTTAGAGGAATATATATTCTGACTTTCAGTAAAAAAAATTGATTTGTAGTCTCCAATTTTGAGAAACTTAGAAAACACAGTTTGTGATTTCGTTTGATGACCTTGACCTTTGACCTTGCAAATTTTACTTTTTTAGACCTCAGTGGGTCTTTTGTTGAAAAATCAACTTTTTTGACCTTTCGGAGGTCACTGAAGGTCAACCAAAGGTCAAAGGTCAAAAGTAAGGTCAGATTTGGAATCCTGAGAACTTGTAGATGAGTTTTAAAAAGAATTTGGTCAATTTGAAGCAAGTGGAAATTTAGTCTTGAAAAGTTTCGAAATTTGACCTTTTTTCAGTTTTTGAGTTCTAATATCTCAAAACTGGTACACAATTTTAATAAATAGTCAATTGCTAATATGTGTAGAACCTATAGAGGAATATATATCCTGACTTTCATGAAAAAATATTGATTTGTAGTCACCAAAACTTAGAAACTTAGAAAACACAGTTTGTGATTTAGTTTGATGACCTTGACCTTTGACCTTGCAAATTTTACTTTTTTAGACCTCAGTGGGTATTTTGTGATCAAATGTACCTAAATTTGAATCCAGAAAATCAATTTGAAAAATCAACTTTTTGACCTTTCGGAGGTCACTGAAGGTCAACCAAAGGTCAAAGGTCAAAAGTAAGGTCAGATTTGGAATCCTGAGAACTTGTAGATGAGTTTTAAAAAAAAATTTGGTCAATTTGAAGCAAGTTGAAATTTAGTCTTGAAAAGTTTCGAAATTTGACCTTTTTTCAGTTTTTGAGTTCTAATATCTCAAAACTGGTACACAATTTTAATAAATAGTCAACTGCTAATATGTGTAGAACCTATAGAGGAATATATATCCTGACTTTCATGAAAAAATATTGATTTGTAGTCACCAAAACTTAGAAACTTAGAAAACACAGTTTGTGATTTAGTTTGATGACCTTGACCTTTGACCTTGCAAATTTTACTTTTTTAGACCTCAGTGGGTCTTTTGTGATCAAATGTATCTAAATTTGAATCCAGAAAATCAATTTGAAAAATCAACTTTTTTGACCTTTCGAAGGTCACTGAAGGTCAACCAAAGGTCAAAGGTCAAAACTAAGGTCAGATTTGAGTTCCTGAGAACTCGTAGATGATTTTAAAAAAAAAATTTGGTCAATTTGAAGCAAGTTGAAAAATGACAAATTTTTACCGTTTTTTGAAGTCAATTATCTCAAAAACGGTAAAAAATTAACGCGAACATATAGTGAGTAATTTGTAGGGAATGCTTATATCTAGTTACATTTTAATTCATCGCAAGAAATAATGAAGTATGAGGATGAAATCTGAGAAACTTAGAAAAAACTTTGATTTGACCTAGATTTTGACCTTTGACCTTGACCTAGATAAAAATTCCTTTCCCGGTAAGTTCAACCTAGGTCCCTAGTAGGTTCATATAGTAGATAGTTGAAATCTAGTTAGAAGTAGGAGAAAAAGTGCAGAGAAGAATAAATAATAACTAGATTTGTGAAATTGAACAAGTTCAATTTAAGACTCCAGATTTATTTTACCTAGATAGATCAGTAAAGAGCTGAGTAAGTAACTGAGTAATTAGCTGAGTAAGTACCTTAGTAGTAGTTGAGTAAGTAGCTGAGTAAGTAACTGAGTAAAAAGCTGAGTAGGTAGCTGAGTAAGTAGCTGAGTAAGTACCTGAGTTAGTAGCTGAGTAAGTTGCTAAGTAAGTAATAACTAATTAAGTAATTGAGTAAGTAGTCAAATAAGTAGCTGAGTAGGTAGAGAGGTAAAGTAGGGTATGCAGGAATTTTTGAAAGTATATTTGATCAATCTGCATCGTGAATACTGGCAAGTGCGAATTTCAAACTTCAAAATGGCGTAGAATCTAAACCTGGGGTCGGATTGCAATTTTTGCTACAAGTATACAAAATTTCGGAGAATATCATTGAAGTGTAGTGTCAGAATCGCAAAATAAGAAAAAACTATGAATTTGACCTAGATTTTTTAAACTAGGTATTTTGGTGTCCAAACTTTGAAGGAAAGTAGCTTTTGAGGTCCCCTTCTTCTATGGGCTTTCATTATGTTTAGCTGTACTCATTCTATATCTCGTATTTTTACACTTCAAAAAAGTATTCGGTCCCAATGATTTAACATGGGGCACCAAATTTAGCGATTTTTGAGATCTCAAAACGCCATAACTTCAGAACAAGTAGTCGGATCGAAATTTGGTTTGCAGATCTAGATTTCTGAGAAAATTCTACCCTTAATTCATAACTCATACGTTAATTTTGGAAAACTTTTTACTTTGGCCTACTTTTTGGACACCATATCTCAAAAGTGGGTCAAAATACTTTCTGACGGCAAAACGCTAACACTATAAGCATACTCTTTGCTACCTGTATACAAAATTTTAAAGCAAATCATTTAAATATAGTGTCAGAATCGCAAAAATAAGGGAAAACTATAAATTTGACCTAGATTTTGACCTAGGCATTTTGGTGTCCAAATTTTGGAGCTAAGTAGCCTTCGAGGTCCCCTTCTTTAATAGGCTTTCATTAAATTAAGCTGTACTCAGTCTATATCTTGTATTTTACACTTCAAAAAAATATTTTTTCCCATTGCCATAACATGGGGCACCAAATTTAGCGATTTTTGAGCTATCAAAACGACATAAATTCCAAACCAAAAGCCGGATTGAAATTTGGTTTGCAGATTTGGATTCCTGAGAAAATTCTACCCTTAATTCATAACTCATACGTTAAATTTGGAGAACTTTTTAGTTTGACCTACTTTTCGGACACCATATCTCAAAAGTGGGTCAAAATACTTCCTGACGGCAAAAGGCTAACACTATAAGCATACTCTTGGCTACATGTACACAAATTTTCGAAGAATATAATTAATCTGTAGTGTCAGAATCGCAAAAATAAGGAAAAACTTTGAATTTGACCTAGATTTTGACCTAGGCATTTTGGTGTCCAAATTTTTATGAAAAGAAGGTCTTGTGGTCCCTTTCTTTTATGGGCTTCCATTATGTTTAGCTGTGCTTAGTCTATATCTCGTATTTTACACTTCAAAAAAATATTTTTTCCCATTGAATTAACATGGGGCAACAAATTTAGCGATTTTTGAATTTTCAAAACGCCATAACTTCTGAACCGGAAGTCAGATCGAAATTTGGTTTTCAGATTCGGAATCCTGAGAAAATTTCCCATAAGACTAATATCCTGGACATTGGATTCGGTGAAATTTTTTTTGGACCTCGTTTTCGGACACTGATATCTCGAAATCGGTTTGAGATACCAAAAAACTAAATCGACCATAGGTTTTCTACTTTTTTATGAGGAACACAATGAAAAAAACCAGGATCAAAAATATTGAAGGACGACCGAGATAATGGGAAAAAGTGACAAAGTACTGGATTTGACCTAGTTCTTGACCTTTGACCTAGATAAAAATTTGACCTAATTTCCCAGAAAGCCAGATACATTCCCTAGTTAATCATGTAAGCAGCTTAAAGTAAGCTCTTCTAGTTGGTGAGAAATCTGGGAAGGAGGAAGAAGAATAATAATAATAATAATAATAATAAAGAAAACTGGCAAAAGCAATAGACTCCAGATTTTCATCTGGAGTCTAATAAAGAATAATAACTAGATGTATAAGAAGATTGCAAGCAATCTTATGGAGGCCCCGTAGGCTTTTTTGAACATTTAAAGGTCAGCCAAAGGTCAAATCTTAAATACAAGGTCATATATGAACTCCAGGCATCCTGTAGATGATTTTTAAAAAAAAGTTTGGTCAATTTGAAGCAATGTGAAATTTGACCTTGAAGAATTTCAACATTAGACCTTTTTCAGTTTTTGAGGTCCAATATCTCAAAACTGGTGCAGAATTTTAATAGATAATCAATTGTTAATACGTGTAAAACCTTTAGAGGAATATATATCCTGACTTTAATTCAAAAATATTGATTTGTAGTCACAAACTTTGAGAAACTTAAAAAACACAGTTTGTGATCTTTTTAGATGACCTTGATCTTTGACCTTGAAAACTTTCCTTTTTAGACCTCAGTATATCTTTTCTGATTGAATAAATCTAGATTTGAATCCAGAAAATCAATTTGAAAAATCAACTTTTTTGACCTTTCGAAGGTCACTGAAGGTCAACTAAAGGTCATAGGTCAAAACTAAGGTCAGATTTGAGTTCCTGAGACCTTGTAGATGCTTTTTAAAAAAAAGTTTGGTCAATTTAGAGCAAGTTGAAATTTATCCTTGAAAAATTTCGAAATTTGACCTTTTTTCAGTTTTTGAGTTCTAATATCTCAAAACTGGAGCAAAATTTTAATAAATAGTCAATTGCTAATATGTGTAGAACCTTTAGGGGAACATATATTCTGACTTTCAGTAAAAAAAATTGATTTGTAGTCTCCAATTTTGAGAAACTTAGAAAACACAGTTTGTGATTTCGTTTGATGACCTTGACCTTTGACCTTGCAAATTTTACTTTTTTAGACCTCAGAAGGTCTTTTGTGAATAAATATACCTAAATTTGAATCCAGAAAATCGATTTGAAAAATCAACTTTTTTGACCTTTCGGAGGTCACTGAAGGTCAACTAAAGGTCAAAGGTCAAAAGTAAGGTCAGATTTGGAATCCTGAGAACTTGTAGATGAGTTTTAAAAAAAATTTGGTCAATTTGAAGCAAGTTGAAAAAAGACCTTTTTTGACCTTTTTTTGACCTTCAATATCTCAAAATCTAGGCAAAATGTCTCTAGACGGCAAAAGGCTAAGACTAATAGAATACTAATATCTATCTGTATGCAAAAATTCAGCCAAAAATATTGAAGTGTAGTGTCAGGATTTGAGAAACTTGAAAAAAACTTAGATTTGACCTAGATTTTGACCTTTGACCTTGACCTAGATAAAAATTCCTTTCCCGGTAAGTTCAACCTAGGTCCCTAGTAGGTTCATATAGTAGATAGTTGAAATCTAGTTAGAAGTAGGAGAAAAAGTGCAGAGAAGAATAAATAATAATAAAGAATAATAAATAATATCTATAAAATCTATAGGAGGCCCCCCGTTGGGGCCTCCTAATAAATAATATCTATAAAATCTATAGGAGGCCCCCCGTTGGGGCCTCCTAATAATATATCATTGAACTTTGAAATTTGCAATTTTCACTAACTCTTCCAGGCTTAAGGATTCTGAACTATCCACCCAAAAACAGACCAGTGATAGTGAAAGAAGACAACTTCAGCAAAAGGTCCTTGAATTAGAAGAGGAATTACAGATGCAGAAGCATGATCTTACAACAGGTGAGTACCTTAAAGCATATGTCTAAGTACATGTCAAATTATGAAATATCAAACTTCATTTGAATAGTAATGTCCTCCAGTCTCATATTAGTTCATTGTTCGGCCCTTCTACAGGATGACACAAAAAAGTGCCACCCACCTCAAGTTGAATAACTTTTTTGTCCTGACTTCTTCTTTTGCACATTCAAACTAGACTTCATGGAGCAACTCTACAAGAAGTTTCAGGTGACGAGATCAATTATGTGGACTTTTATGATGGTTACAAGATGTGATCTAAATGTCATCCATTCCATAGCAGGCACACTTCTGGATTCTACTGGCAAAGTTATTGACGACATTTGCCTGACATAAACCCACAAGATTTTATCTCTGGGGATACTTGAAGAATCATTTGTATGTAACAAACCCCCAAACCATAGAACACCTGAAGATAGAGATCACAAGAAAGATCAGGGCCATTTCTGTGGGGGAATGTGTTAGGGTTGTCAGTCACTTTACCCATAGAATCCAGGTGTGCCTGACCAGTGGCGGATCCAGAAATAAATAAGGGGGGGGGGGGCAAATTTTGAGTCTAGAATTTTTTTTCGCACTTGCGTGTAAAAAATTTTGGGCCCCTAAAACCAAAAATTGGGCCCAAACTTTTAAAAAGTAAGGCCTATTTTTGATAAATTGGCTCAAAAAAGGCTTTAAAAGGCCAAATTTTTTGAGGCCCTTCTAAATTTTGGGGCCCATAAATTAAAAATATTTTCTGGGCACACCCCGGATCCGCTTCTACTGAGATTTAGAGAAAATCTTTTAATGCTCATGAAAGTGAATCCAGTAGAGCTAGTCATCTCAAACGTCTTGTGGAGTTGCTGCATGAAGTTAATTTTACTTTGTAAAAAGAGAAAGCCAGGAATGATATAGATGAAAGTTATTTAACATGATGTGGGTGGCACTTTTTGTGTCATCCTTTATTAACTCAGTTATTTGCTGACAGATCTTGTTTATATTTGATGAGTTCTAAATTGATTAATTGTTTCTTCTATGACACCATTTCATATCAGGTAGTAAAAATAAGTAATTATTCATTTAGACAAAGGATATACTGCAGTATCCTGGTGGTAACTTTTATTTCAATATATATGTACATTTGTTACTGAATAGAATCTCACTCATAACTGAACAAATATAAACCCTGATTATTAAGCCATTCGACTGTATCCTGTTCCTCTTGTCTGTTTACTTGTCTGCATTTAACTTATTTGTATTCAATATTCACATCTAGCTCTAATTGAAGAGATTCCCATGTGATTAATAACATACCCCAGGGTCAACATTTGTCCACCCCCTATGGATATTCATGTTTGCCCTGGAAGGTGGCCAAATAGAAAAGAAAAAAGCCCATTAAACTTATTGTGAGATCACAATCGTTCATTAGTTTCAAAACAGAAAGAAGCAGCACAGAATCATCCATTAGTATAGTTCCTTCTGAAAACAGAAAAATGTTATGAATATCAGAATGCTTTGAACATGATATAGCGCATTACAGGTAAGTTCAGAATTCCTAAAGTCTACTCAGGGGTTTCACTAGACTTTCTTACAACAGGCTAAATAAATGAAATGATCGGCAAAATTAATTGAAATCATGAATTTAACATGGAAGAGTTGAAAAATCCCTAAAAACAACAGGCGATTTTGTGAAAACAACGGGTGAAAATCGCCTGTTGCCTGCTGCTAATGAAGCCCCTGCTACTGTACTTTTATTTAAATGTCACGTCTTTATATCCATCTACTAGTGACTTCTTTTGAATTAATATCCTGTTCAATATTTTGTCTAGGTTGATGAATGGAGTCCTGTGTCAAATGTTTCTGATTAAACCTAAACACACTCTCTTAGGGAACATTAGTCACAAAGTAAATGACAAATTGTAACAAAGCAGGAAATTATTTAAATGAAAAGTCTCTTTATTGACTTGAAAGAATGAACATCTAAAATGTATCAATAATTGATTCAAGAAATTATGTGAGCCATTCAAAACCCCAAATCATCCTATTTATGAACATTATGATTGAAGTTATAACAAGGACTGTATAGGACATTATAGACTCTACCTTTTCTGCACCATTGGCTCGAACTTAAGTTATGGAACCCGTATGTGACATTTGTTTTGTTAAAATATATTGAAATTTCCACATTTATCTCTGTTTGCAAATTTAAAATCAAAATTTGAATTTAGCAAGTTGGAACTGCAAAGTGTAAACCCCCAAATATCAGTATCATTTTCAATATCCATTATCAGTTCACCAGGAATTTGTAACGTCAGTAGGCAAATTTACCATGAATGTTTCATGGGCAAATTTTCATCTGGACAGAAAATTTAGATGATTTGTTTGTAAATTTCAATTGCGCTTTTGATTAACACGACACTCATAAGATATTAAACATAGCTTTGGCTAGAGGTCATATCTCGTTTATTAAGAACATTGTCTATTGAATTACATCATATAGTTTATCAGTAGTGTAAATTTACGCATCATTTATGAACATCTAATAAGGTATGCCTACAGATGCATGTCTGAGTTGATTTGGATTACTAGTACATAAAATCGTTAGTACTGATACTTAATGATATGTTGATTGATTGAATGCATTAATTTTCACCATTAAAACCTCTATGTGAAGAGCCTCGAAATATGGCCTGAAAAGGTATGAACTAATGCATGGAACCTATCGAACATTGAACATTTTTTAACCTGTAATGATGTTTAAGAAGGTGTTCACTGTATTGACGACCTTGCCAGAATGATTTCATCTCTCCTAAACACTACACACATATTCACTCACTCATATTCTACTCGCTTTCGAAAATAGCATTCAATTTTCGTAATGCTTAAAGCTACATTCTGAAGTAATATGTAGAAATAATTTATATTCTAATTCGTTTCACTCAAACGAATAAAAATAAAACTTCTATACATTACAAAGCGTTGCGCTTTTGATTAACATGACACTCATTAGATATTAAGCAATACCTTTGGCTAGAGGTCGCATCTTTCCTTCGAAATAAACTCAATTTTAGTTTGTTCAGTGTAAAGTTCAAGGTCAAATCTCAGAACGAGGCTAGGTTAGGGGAATCCCCTATTTTTCATATGTCTGCTTATTACAAATGTAAACAATGAATGGAAAGCGCACCTCAGAAGCGTGGTTTGTCATTTAAGTATCCCATCGAACGAAGTTCAGAGGGATATAGCAGGCCTGTCAACTTGGGAACACCTAACATGAGTGACTTGGAAATGTTGAACACCTCCCCTCTAAATGTGGACACCTTGGTCCAAATCTGAACACCTTTATCCAAATTTTGAACACCTTGGTTTAAAATTTATTACATCTTGCCAAATTTTGAACACCTCCAATTTTTCGCTACGCTCACGTTTCAATCTTCCATCGACGGGGGGGGGGGGGGGTAGGTACGAAAAATTTCGAACGGAGTGTGACATATACGTGATTCCCGTGAAAAGTCCGAACGAAATGCGTACTTTTTTTTTCGGTGTTCGTATTTTTGCTGTGTAGACAACTTTTTTAGAAATTTTTCTATATATATATTTTTGCTTGACAATTACCAGGTAAAATGCGTATTTGCGTGACATTTTCTGTCACGCAAAAATAACTGGCGTGACTCCAAATTCTTCAGCAAATGTGTGACAAATACGCAAATTGCAGGACAGTTGACAGGCCTGGATATAGGGAACGTCTCCGTCTGTAACAACAGCAGAAAAAAGAAGAAGAAACTAAGAAGACAAAGAGTGAAAGGAAAAGACAAATAAAACTAGATTTGTAAATTGAACAAAGTTCAATTTAAGACTCCAGATTGATTTACTTGAGTAGGTAGCTGAGTAAGTAACTGAGTAGCAAGCTGAGTAAGTAGATGATTAAGTAATTGAGTGAGTAGCTGAGTAGGTAGCTGAGAAGGAAGCTGAGTAAGCAGCTGAGTAGGTAGCTGAGTAAGTAGCTGAGTAGGTAGCCGAGAAGTAGGTAGCTAAGTAGGTAGCCGAGTAGGTATGTAGGTAGGTAGGTAAGTAGGAATTTTTGACCGGAAGTCGGATTAAAATTTGGTTTGCAGATTCGGATTCCTTAGAAAATTCTACCCTTAATTCATAACTCATAAGTTAAATTATGAGAACTTTTTATTTTGACCTACTTTACGGACACCATATCTCAAAAGTGGGTCAAAATACTTTCTGACGGCAAAAGGCTATCACTATTAGCACACTCTTTTCTACCTGTATACAACATTTTGAAGCAAATCCTAAAAGTGTGGTGCAAGAATCGCAAAAATAAGGAAAAACTATGAATTTGACCTAGATTTTGACCTAAGCATTTTGGTGTCCAAATATTGAAACTAGGTAGCTTTTGAGGTCCCCTTCTTTTATTGGAATTCATTATCTTAAGCTGTACTCAGTCTATATCTCGTATTTTCACTTCAAAAAAATATTTTTTCTTTGACTTTCTATCAGGATACCATCAGATCGATTTTTCTCGAATTTCAAAACGCCATAACTTCCGAACGGGAAGTCGGATTGAAATTTGGTTTGCAGATTCGGATTCCTGACAAAATTCTACCCCCAATTCATAATTCATACATTGAATTTGGAGAACTTTTTGTTTTGACCTACTTTCCAGACGCCATATTTCAAAATCAGAAAGAGTAATCAAAAAACGGATGGCACACTTATAAAAGGGCTGTTTATAAGCTACATGATGAAAAAAAGATGAAGATGTTTCGATAAATAACGACGAAGATAATTGATAGAATATTGAAAATGTAAGATTTGACCCAGTTCTAGGATAGGATAGGATATAGAATAGGAAGGAAGGATAGGATAGGAAGGAAAGGATAGAAAGGAATGATAGATAGGAAGGATATGATCAGACAGGATAGGAAGGAAGGATGGATGATTTTTTCTATATTTTCTTTGCTAATCTTGACTTTCTATCAGGATATCATCAGATCGATTTTTCTCGAAATTTTCAAAACGCCATAACTTTTGAACCGGAAGTCGGATCGGAATTTGGTTTGCAGATTCAGATTCCTGAGAAAATTCTACACTTAATTCATAACTCAGATGTTAAATTTGGAGAACTTTTCATTTTGACCTACTTTCTGGAGGCCATATTTCAAAATCGGTAAGCGTAATCAAAAATCTAATGTCATATCTTTGCTTTGGCTTTTTCTAAGCTACATGATGAAAAAAAGATTTAGGAGTTACGATAAACAACGACGAAGATAATTGACAGAATATTGATTTGACCTTAATTTGACCTAGTTCTTGACCTTTGACCTAGATAAAAATTTGACCTAATTTCCCATGAACCCAGGTACTTTCCCTAGTTGATCATGTAAGCAGCTTAAAGTAAACTCTTCTAGTTGGTGAGAAATCTGGGAAGGAGGAAGAGGAAGAAAGAATAATAATAAAAAGAAAACTGGCAAAAGCAATAGACTCCAGATTTTCAATCTGGAGTCTAATTAGAATAAGAAGGAATCAACAGCAACAACAAATAGATTTTCAAGCTGGACTGAATGATGATGACATGAACAGCATATAAACAAGATGTCCGCACGTACGTACATCTGTACGTATGTCCGTCTGACCGGGCAATAACTCAAATACCGTTGGCCTGATTTTGTTCATATTTTGTACACAAATAGCCTAATTTTAGGCTACTTTTCAAAATGGCCACTCATTTAAAAATGGTGGCCATTTTAGTGCCGATTTTACAGTCGTTTAGGTGAAATATGTAAAACTGTAATAGCAATATGTTTTAAATGTAAAAAATTATATAGAACATTCATAAAGCTAGAAATGTAGATATTAAAGAAGCACATGGCAGCCATCTTGAAAAATGGCGGCCTTTACTCATTATTTTACGATTTTTGCTGTAACTCGAAAAGTAGTGGAGCGATTTTTTCATATTTGGTATGTGAATGCTATAAGCATGGCACACTGTAGCTGTAACCTATTTCAGTTGTCCTTTAAGTGACACAACTATATTGATGGGTTCATAATAAACTGTGTTCAGCTTCATCATTCATCTTGTTAAGTTTCAAGAATGATTAATGTTGATGACAAATGTTATTATAAATACATTAACAAACAAACTAGATATTGACAAGATCAGTGCCAAATCAGAATTGCACATGGGACCAGACTGTATTAATACTTTGGCAGTTCTTGAATGAATTGCAATTTTATCAAGTTACACAACCTTGCAGTTTGTTTTAAAATGATGGCAACATCAAATTAGGTTTTCAACGTGAATTCAGCATGTTACAGTATGTTTAAATAATATGTGTCATCTATTGAGATTCATACATAGTTCCATTAAAATCAATTTTTATTTCACTTTTTTAATTTGCTATATTGTCGTCATATTCTGCTGATGTTGATAGATAGGCATAAATCTTGTCATCAAAATTATATATCATTGTCACGTGTCTTGTTATCCAGTGATTCTGAATGAAGTATCAAAAAAAATGTTTGACTGAGTGGTTTGAATTAAAAGTTGAAATGAATAGAAAATAATTTTATAATTATTGTAATTAATGATTTGTTTGATTATAATGGTGTCCATACCATGTTCTCTGTAAAATCTGCACAGTGAGGTCTTCCAAACTTTTCTGTAGGAGATTTCTTAAATCACAAAATCCCAGGGGATTCTTCCAAGTTCTCATGTAGGAGATGTCTCATATTATAATTTTTGAAAATAGTAGGATTTTTAAAAAGTAAATATATGGGTGATAATAGGGTATTTCATGAATTCCCCCCTTAAAACTGGACTCACTTTGACTAAGAAACAGATTTTGATGATTTCCTCATGCATTTACTGTTCCGCTGAGTATGTTTTAATAAGTTAATCCATACAACTATATGCATCAATAGCAATAAAAATATTCACTTCCTATCCGTCCCTGCAGACTGTCATTTAGAAATTCACAACGTTACAAAATCAAATGGCTGTTCATAGTCAGAGAAAATACTTTTTATATTTTTATATCTACTACTTCACATCATTTATAAAGGAATAAATCTTTGTTTGTGTGGAAAAAGGTGGAAAAGTTGCTGATGTCAAGTCACCATTCAAGTCACCAGAGCCTACACTGCCTGCGCCTGTACAGTCATATGATTATTGATAGACTATCGGTAACATCGTACAGTCATAGTATTGCACTCAAAAATATTTCTGGTTGTATGTACATTGGTTTTTCATGTCATTGTAGGTTATGAAGAGTCATTGATAAAGAAAGAGAAAGAATGTCAAGAAAAGCTGGATGCGGTGAACACTTCTGCATTATCAAGTGATCTAAAGGTAAAACTGCCCTGTCAACATGATTGATTTTTTCGCTTAAACTACCCTTGTAAGAATAAAACTAGTATCTTGGTTTATATTTTCATAAAAGATCTCTCGATAATCATAAAACAATTGTTACAGTGTATCATATGTGTCTGTTTGCAATATAACCACATCTAAACTAAAACATCTTTTGTATGGACAAATGGGAGGACAGTCATAAATGACAAGTAATTATCCCATCGCACAAAGTCGGGGGGATATAGAAAATGACTTACGCTTACGTTTCACCTAGTCTAATACCTAATTTACAAGTTGTATATGACCTTATTATCCCATAATACATGTATGTATGGACTTTGAAAGCTTATACCTAATATACAAGACTAAATTTGCTTGTTTGCGTGAAGTACTTCAGGGTGTTTGACTGAGTGGTCCGCAACTCGTACAAAAGGCTGTAGTGTGTACTTGTATATCTATGTATAAGTGCACATAAAAGAACACAGGGCTCCTTCAAGGAGGGGTTTCTGGGTCTATCTTCCAGGTTAATTACGTAAATTACGACCATATATATACGGAATATACCCAAGAGGTATTGCTCACCTTCATTGATGGTAAACAAAATACAATACAATACAATATGACCTTATTATCCCATTGCACGAGGTTCTGGGAGCTGATGGATGGACAAAAAGATGGGCAGTCAAATGCAAATGCCCTTCACATTTCTCACACTTTGGTTTCACCTCATTGTCTAATGACTTTGAAAGCCCATACCTAATTGTATGACCTCATTATCCCATTGCACAAAGTTCAGGGAGATTATAGAGATGGCTTCGTCCATCCATCCGTCTGTCTTTTAGTACGTAATACCGTCAGCCCAATATATATTTGGTATATGCCAAATGTTAGTGCAAGCAAGTAGAAATCGATTTAAAAAATGCCAAGTGGTTTCTAATTGGCCACCATTTTGGTGTCAATTTTACAGTATTTTAGGCACAAAATATAAAACTGCAATATTAATTTCTTTAATTGGCAAAAACTTATGGGTTATATAATAAGTTTGAAATCTAATTATTTTGAAAAAACATGGCAGCCATCTTGAAAAATGGTGGCCGTTATTTGTAGTAGTGGAGTGTTTTGTATACTTGATATGTGATTTCTCATAAGCAAGGTAGACTCAAGTGGTGACATATTGTTATAGTCTATCACTTTTTGTGGATGGTGTTTGGTATTCGGCAGGTGGCAGTTGACATTTGATGGTCGATATCTGTTACAAATGTCAGGTGGTAACATTTTTCATATTAATGCCTTGTCTCGTCCTTTACTGTATTCTTATCATCTTATTTAGTACAGGGTGCAATTCCTCCATCAGTATGTCTCAAGATTAAGAATTCATTTGAAAAGAAGACATATAAATAATATAGTAATTGAGATTGGGAAACTTGATATTTGATGAAGTACTACTTGTTATAACATTACCTTGTGAATCACTCATTTTCCTGTCAAAACAACAATTGAATTGATCTATGATATTTACATTTGTACCCAGTAATTAATTCAAATACATTTTTCTCCTAGTAAATGAGTGAAACCTAATGATTTCAGTTCACATATTCTTATAATTGATAGCTTTTAAGCTTTACCCAAGAAATAGTTCATGGATAGCAAAATCTCTCCTATTATATAGATTTTAGTCTAATTGGAAAAACTTGTTGAAGCCATAAAGTAAAGTTAACCAGAAGTGACCTTACCACAATGACAGATGATAAATGAGAGATGGGGCCTAGATTTGGTAACCAAGAAGTGGTGACATAATGGTTAGCTCTTAGCAGTCTGCCGATGAGTTATCTCGCAAAATCAGACATTCCCTGGGGTCTGCCGACGAGATAACTCGGACATTAGGTACTTGAGGTTATGCTTAAGTTCATTTAGAAACAAAAAATATGCATTGTGTTGATAATGCATACCCAACACTTGATGAAATCCTTAAAAGAAACACTTAAAAGAAATCCTTTATTTATGTGAAGATATGTAGTATAATCCTGCTTTTTTACCAACCTTTAGGAATCAAAGGGTTAATTATTCAAAAGTGCCTTTCGCACAAATACAAAAAGAAATCTGAAGATACATCAGACATTTATAAACAGTAGTATCAATTCGTCACTACCATAAACTAGAGGAAAGAATCAGAAAAAAATATTATAAAAGCCACCCCTATGACTGAAATTTGAAAGAGGACGCCACTATAATAGCTAATTAAACATTCGCTGACCGCTTTTCAGATAAGCACTTCATATATTCTTGGACCCTGGGGCATGTATTCAAGGTTGAGAGAGTCAAATTCCATGACTTACATTATCAGTAGAACACCCCCAGCAACCGGTTACAATTATGTAATATCTCAAATGATGGTATGAGGTGTCTAATAAAATATATTTGGTGGGATTTGCTACTTCATGTTCTCTAGATTATCTAGATAGTCATTTAAAAACCATATACAAGATTTAGGTATGTCGGTTTGTTCATAAATTCTCAAAATTCTCATCATGGGTGCATTACATCATGATTATAGTTTGTTGAGTTATGTTTGCTATGGTAATATGCACCATGATACCCTGATTAGATCAAAATCCGAGACAAGCTCAGCTATATTAATTTTATCTGGGTGGTTTTGAAGTTGTTTTAATCCAATTGTGTCCCATCATCCAAGTGCAACAGCTTTATAATGAAGTCAATTATGTTCAGCTGTCCAAGGCTAGTGATGCTTATATATTGCTACATCTATGTAATGTCATAATTGAATATAAAGTGTATTGCTTAGCAGGCAATCTTGCATGTTTAAGGCAACTTTTTCAATTTTGCATTCTTTTGTAAGTGCCTGGAGAATCTTTTAAACCTCTTCAAAATCATAAGTAGATTTATGCACTAACTAAGTTATTCTATTTAACCGAAATACAGGCATTAAGCTTTGATAGTTAACATGTGTGCGAGCCTTGGGAGCCTCTCAAGCGTGAAAACACCCTTACCTGGTGTTAAACCTAAAATAACAGCTAATATCCTGAATCGGTTAAAGGTGGGGTCTGAATACCCGCCTCATAAGTAGATTTGTATGGAATTTTTTCTGCATCTTTATTCGATTTTCACACTTTTGTATTTGATTACAACCATTCGATATTCCACTTTATTAAAATAATTCGAAACACGTAATAAATTTGTTTGTTATTACACATTTATATTTGATTTATGTACCTATATATGCGGTAAATGCACTTGTATATGCTGTTTATGCTATTCAGTGTTTGGTAAAATATCACATATTGAAGTCCATGTACATACACGAACAAAGACAGTTGACACATATATTTAGAACACGCTTCAAATACAAATACATTTTAGAACCAAACAATGTTCATTTACCGAACAATCATAGACTACAAAATAGCACGGACATATAGTGACTTACCCCACATAATTAATGACATGTGCTTTCACACGACTTACCCCACATAAATGACACATACTGCATGTAGCATAAAACCATTTGGTAAATCACGTGACCAGTGACGTAGAAATTATTTCAAAATGGATGAAACAAGCGAGGACCGAAGTCACGTGACTTACCCCACATCAAAACAGTGAACATAGGTTTATATAAAATCATTCGGTAAGTCACGTGACTTACCCCACAAATGAATATGTTTACCACAAATGAATATGTTTACCCAATACGAATGGTACTTGGCATCGCACATATTTAAAATACTTATCATATTTATATTTGATCGGGTCGAATACAGTTTTGAAGCATCTTACATATTTGTTGTGTAAGACAGTTAATTATATGTGGGATAGTAGGTACCATTTCTTGAAACTGGTTTTGTTTATGTTCGGTTTAACTTACTCCGTGGGGTAAAAACCGAAGATATAGAGGTTCTTATATGAGTACCTGTGCAAGATCGTTCATTCTTGATGAGCTTTGATAATTCTTCTTTATCGAGTCGCAGATGCTTTAAAGTATCGCAACAGATTTTGGACAATAATTTCGTCTTTGAGACAGGGAAGATGCAAACAAACCACCTGCATGTTTTTTTAAAAATGTTTTCCTGATTTTCAACCCCTTCCACCCCTGCTTTTTAATTTTTTTTGCATCAATGTGTTGTGTTTTGACACACAGTTAACCACTTTTAAGGAATAAGTGATTCCTTTGGGAAGATATTAATTATGGGTGACCAAAATTAGCTGAAAGCAATGGATCGCATGAGTTTTCCCTGCGGGAAAATAACATGGGAAATATTGTTTTCCACTTTATCTAAAAGGAATCACTTATTCCTTTAAAGGGGGTTAATAAAGATATAATAACAATGATAATACATGAGATTTCGCTGTCTCTAATAACACTACTGGAGGTTTTTACACCATTTGGTCCTTTTCGTGATTTTTTTTTTGCAATTATTGAGCATATCAAATCTGGTTAATGCTTTAAATTTTGATAAGATGTAAAAAAGCAATCAAATGCTTATTGAACAAAAGTTCCAATTGTTCAATAGGAAAAGAAACAGTGTCCACATAGAGGTTATTCTATTAACCTTACATTTGCCTGACTTGTCACATGTTGAGTCAGTTTTAATCATCTATTAGTAGGGTTGAATGATGGTAATATACATTCCTTATTAAGTTAAATTACATCAGATCTCTTTTAATGGCTTGGGGAAACGTTAACTTGATTAGCCTAGTTCTGTGAAATAATTAGGTATACTAAGGATTCAAACATACCCTAATTTGATTGACAGTCTTTTAATAGAAACCCCATTATTAGGGCCAAAAATGTGAATTAATAAGTGCAACTGCTGGTGAAACAAATATTTTGATGCTTTTGATCGGTTCCATGAAAAGCTCAACACAGGACACGCCACAAAGTAACAGGACAGAAAAATTAGCATTTGCAAAACTCTGATGGCAGGCCCTTCAGGTTGGGGAGGGGGTGCAATAGATGTGACCAGGCCCCCACCTTTCTA